CCCTCCCTCCCTCCCTCCCTCCCTCCCTCCCTCCCTCCCGCACTCATTCACTCACTCACTCCGTTCATGGCGGCTTGTGGCGCCCCAGATTTGATCGCTGCCGATAGCGTGAATAGATGCGGCGAGCTTGGCTTGCCTCACTCTTACCTTCTGAGCAACCTGCAACTCGAGGCGGGCCGTCGTACAAAACGCGCGCTGTCGCAGGCAGCGTGCCCATTTTCAGCCACCTCTGTCGCTGTCGGAGCTGCGGATCCTGACGAAAACACGAGCTTGACATTGCGAGACCCAAAGACTTGGGGATTGCGAGACATATGCACTTCCTACGCACTTCCTATGGACTTCCTGCTCTTGGGCATTCTTGAGCTAAGGGGCGCGAAGAGGACAGTGCCGAGGAGAAATGTCGTGGCACAGCAGGTCAACGCAGCCTGAAACTGGTCTCTTGCCGCTGAAAAACAGACTCGAGTTGCGATGCACAGCTGCGCACCTCTGGGCCAAGATTGTCATCTAGAACGCCCAGCAGAAAAGGAGCCAACAAGTAGCTGAGGTCACCTGTCAGCTGAATCGCTGAATGCCCCGAGCCGAGTAGGATCCACGAATGAGGTCGCAACCCACAGTCTTTGGCACACTGAGGGCAGCCCCGCGCTGATCCTGAAGCAAAGGCGTGAAAAGGCTCTCAAGCTCGCTGGGCCAAGCTCCTCTGGAGCAGCTGAGATGGCAAAGGCTTGAAGAGCAGGAGACTTCACTGCCGCCGCCAATGCCCACAGTGCTAAGCAGGCCACAAAGCTTTCCTTCAAGGACACGTTGAGCATTTCATTATGTTTCATTGTTTCGGCAAAGCTGAGAATTGCAGCTCCTTGATCCGCATCTCCGTGGCCACGGCCGCCCCGAAGTAGGCCAAGGCACAGACGCTGCCGCAGACCACGAGCACAGGCCGCGGGCCCACCGCATCTGCAATGCGCCCACCCACCAAAGTGCCTCGGAGAAAAGAGGCAGAAAGAGGCATCCGAAGGGCGACAAAAAGGCGACAAAAAAGTGAAACATAGTGAAACATAGTGAAACAGTGCAACCTGCCAGGATGCCGAAAATGGCCAGCGCTGCCAAGGCGGAGAAAAGCTGTCCGACTTCTGCAGGCGATGCGCCGAAAGCTTCCGCGGCCACAGATGGGAGGAGCGAGATTTTGCAGGCCTCGACGCAGACGACTCCGCGGATTGCGCCACGTTCTCTGAGGCCCTGTCCGTCCCAGCGTAGAATGCAACGGAGATGCACGCGAGCGCCTGCTGCTCTGGAGCCTTGATAAGCTCCTGCCGCAAGCCATGCGGCGCAAGCGGCGCAAGCGGCGCAAGGCCTGGAAGGAAACCTTTTCCTCACTCGAGGTTTTCACCTTGAGCTCTGGGAGGAGCGCGTAGCCACCAGCGCACGCGGTGGCGCCTGAACGGCCAACGAGCTCCCCAGTGCCAAAGTATCGCCAAAGCATCTTAAAGCATCCTGGCCTGCAGCCACAGCAAAGAAAATTGACCGCAAGCCGAATTCGCCAACGAGCCAACCGCCAACCTCCACAAATCAAGCGACAGTTGCATTGAACCCCCCCACATCAGCCAAAGCACAGCAGGGCCAATGACGAAGGCCAGAGCAATCACAGCGTTTTGCACCTGTCAAGTATAAAGCAACCGCGTAAAGAAAATGCCCAAGAAACATCCAGACAAAGGCACACCCAAAAAAGATGCTCGAGAATCTGCTCGACTCTCCTGGATGTGAACAAAACGGGGCGCAGTTACGCAGTTCGCACATGCTTTGACGAGACTTGCGGCGCGGCCCGTGGCCAAGCGGCGGTTGCATCTGCCACCCATGCAGAGGCACCGGCATCGCTGGAAGAAAGACCGGCTCCCAGGAGAAGTCGCGCCAAAATCAGGAACGGAAGACTTGTTGCCTTGGCTTTGGGCTCCTGGGCCCACCTGGGCATGCCAAAGTGCCTTCGCAACTCAAATTGCTGCCAAAGCTCCAGGCCGGTGCCAACGTCACCAACTGCACACAACACCATGCCGCCAACCATCAACATCCTCCGCCCAATTGAGTCGGCAAGTTGGCCAAATGGAACATTCAGCAGCAATTTTGCCAGGCTCGGTGAGGATACCAGCAACCTGCCAAGCCCCTACTAAGCCCGTCGCAATTGCAAGTTCCACGCCTGTATTAGGAGCCAAGCAGCCCGACAGAGCTCTGAGACAGGCCGAATTCTTGGCCATACCTGTCGCGGATGAGATGTGTGTCACATCGAACGAACAAACAACCTTCTTAAACGATGGATGGAAAACTAACAGAAGGGGATGCTGTGGACTGTTTTTTCCACATATTTTGCCTGCTTCTCAACATGTTTGCGATCAAAACTTGGGGCTGCCACCACGACACTCGGAGATGCGTGCTGGACACAAGAGATGCAGTTTTGCCCTTACCCACTCTTGGGGGGCGAATCTGGACTTACAACGGAAGTCCTTGTGACACTTCGAGGCCGTTTTGGCTCGAGGCCCGCGCCGTGGCTTTTCATCCCCTCTAGAGTGAAAAACCTTACGCGTGCCTTACTGCGGCGGAATGCATTGCGAGCGCCGGAGTCTATTGCAAAAACAAACTACATCAAACAGTGAGAACCATACTCCATGCCGGAACAAAGGGGGTGGCGCCCGCCAACTAGTAGGGCGGCGGCACCTGCCCGGTAGGGGCGCTTGTTGCATTTCTGCGCATTTGTCCTATTCCTTTTGAATTTGGTTGCTGTTTCGCTCACTCACACTTACTCACTCACAACTCACTCACCCACACTGCGCTTCGGGCCCCCATTTTGCGTGGCAGCACTGTGTGACTTCATGCAGATTTCTGAGCACAGGTGCACGATTGCGTGGCAGTGGTGTCTTGCAAAGGGACTTGGTGCTACTGCGAGCGCTTCGGAACCCCCATTTTGCGTGGCAGGCGCGACAGTTTCAGATTTCGTGGCAGGGGCAGCATTTGGTGAGTACGGGGGTACGATTGCGTGGCAGGGGCGGCATTTGATGCTCTCAAAAAGGGGCTTGGTGTGGCACTGCGCGCACACTTGTTAAAAAGAAGTCACAGTGTACAGTTGCTAGCTATTCACTCTCACACATCTCAGCTCTCACTCATCTCACCCCTATGTACATGGGAACTTCTTCTTGCGCATCCAACTGATCTTGACATGAGATGGCTGGGAGTCGCTAAACACGGAACAAGAAAGGACTCACAGCATTCATTTCTTTGCTCTTTCCTTCCTCTTCGTGCTGCAAAAACTTTGCATGTGGATCCTTCACCTGTTTTTTGCTTGGTTCCCTTTGCATCTATGCAGGTTTCACATGGTAAAAACCCGTAGCTATCTTCAGAGAACCTTTCATCCCCTTTGTTGTCCCATTTTCCCAAGGGAACTTGGGTTTGGTGGCATGAGTCTTTACCAACAAAAATGATCAGCCTTGGTCCCTTCACCAGGGTGGTGATGGAATTCTCCCAAATTGTATTAGTTGATGTTTGTGCAGTCATCCCAGCCAAAAGAATGAACTTCAAACTTGATCAAGCTTTAGCGTTCTTGATCACAACCATGAACTTGATCAAGCTTGCTCAACATTTGTCGAATTTGGTCAAATTCAATCAACATTGATCAAGCGTGGCTATTTTGGAAGCATGAATTGAGAACCCCGCCAAATGGAACACTCATTTTTCTCCTATGGCAGATGTGGAGCCCTCCCAATGGAAGTCATTGACAAGAGGGCGTCACTGGTGGCAACTGCACGCCTTGGGAAAGGGAACCCATTGAGGAAAGGGTGCCATGGTAATTACTTTGTCAAAATACTTTCGGCAAAAGACGAATGTCAAATGCTTGCAATTTGTTTGAGGCTACGCAAAGCTGTTCCAGACATCTTTCATTAATTTCGGTCAAACTGTTGAGGCCACAGGAAATTTATAGTCGAAAGACGCGCCTTGACTATATGCTCAAGATATTTTGGCCAAGGAAAGTCCCCGTTTGTTCAGTCAAACATTTGGCCTGCGCTTTTTGAGGCCACAGGAAATTGTTCTTCAAACATTTCTTGATTTATATGGTCAAATCACGCTCGTCTATAAAAACATGTAGTCAGATTGTTTGTCAAACAGGTGGCCTGCACCACAGCAAGTTGTAGTCCACAAAAATGCTCTGTACGTAAAAAAAAGAAAAAAATGAAGTTCACCCATTGAAAATTGTAATTACTTGCTTTCAACTTTGTGGCGTGCAACAATTGAGGCCACAACCAGTGGCGTCCACAAGTGCTCCTTAACTGCATTTCGTCAAAGTTGCTTCACCCTTGGTTTCTTACACCCGTGCAGAGCGAGGTGTCTGAAAAATATCTGGCCTGTAAACCTGAACTAAGTTGTGAATTGCCTTGTTTTAAAGTTTCTCAAGCTTCTTGTTCACTAGCCGTCCGCATTTTGTCATGACGTTTGTCTCTTGTGCTCATGTTTACTGCTCACTGGTTCCAGAACTTGTTTTGATAGTGTTGAATTTTTGAATTTTGAACATGTTTTGATGGCACTGGGCCCACCGAAATGTGGGCTTTCTGGCCTAGGTATCAAGCAAACAGGTCCTCAACTTGGCCTCCACAAAGACATTTGCGCCACTGTCACAAGGGAAATAACAATGTAGCAGCCCCATGGGTTATTGATATCTATGGCCACACATTGCAAAATACATTAACGCAAGCATGCGTACACCAATGTGTTGTCATACACACGCATCTCAATATCTAAAACTATATTTTTTCAAATGTCACCTTGGCATAGACGTATGTGTCTAGCTGTGTGTAGTTTTGAAACTGGGCAAAGCCAAAACAGATGCCGCAGGACACATGTGCCGAAACATGAAGAAACTGGTGTCAAATCAGTATAAACTGCACCGTCCAAATCAATAGAAACTAATGTCAAATCTGATAAACATACTCGTGCCTATTGATTAGAACCAATGGGGTGGCAACAGTTGATAGTGAGGTGACTACGTGAGTAACCAATTCAGTGAGTGAGAGTGTGTGAGTGAGTGGGAGTGAGTGGGAGTGAGTGGGAGTGAGTGAGAGAGTGAGTGAGTGAGAGTGAGTGATAGCAGGAGAGGGAGGAGGAGGAGGAGGAGGAGGAGGAGGAGGAGGAGGAGGAGGAGGAGGAGGAGGAGGAGGAGCAGGAGCGGGGGGAGACGAGCGGTCATAAGAACCCCACACTATGATGCGGGGAAGAACACCTCAAGCCCAACCAGACCAAAAGTTTCCCAACCGGAACGTTACCAGGTGGAAAGCCTCTGGGTTGTATCATTGACTTGTCTCAAAAGAAGCTCATGAGAAATCTGACCCGCAACTGGAGGCTATCCCCCGGAGTTTTGTAGAAAGAGTGGTGCGACGGGTGCCCCAAATTTGCAAGCAAGGCAAAAGGAAGCCCTGTCAAGAAGCCCATGTGACCTAGGCAAAATAACGTTTTGTTCCCTACCCCAAGGGGCACTGCTGTGGTCCTGAATTATTGCGCCCGGATGCGCTGATAAGGCGATATCAGACACCGATAAACCGAAATCGGATACCGGGTTGGCTTATCGGGTCATCCCAAATAAAAACCCGCCCAGCCGACACACTGCTTTAAAACGCTCCCGGGCGTTATATAACTTTGAGCAGCCAGTTTTCAAGCTCACATTCAAGCTCACATCATTCGGAACATGGTGTCAAGGTGCAAAGGCAACACCGGGATCAGCGCGCCAACTGCAACGAAAACCGGGAACTGGGCAAGGAGCAACGTGTTGAAGTCCTTGTCTTGCACGCCCGGTGCCTTCACTTCCTGCAGCGCGTGCGCACTGCGAACATTGACTCACATGGAATTGAAAAGCGAGCGCAAAGCCAAAGCCGGGTGACTGGGCTGGGCCACGGCCACGCACTGCGCTCGCTCCGCGGTCTCTGACACGCGGGCCAGCGCGCTGAGCCGCGCTGCGGCTTCACAGCGCGCTCCGGCGCAGGCGCCCCAGGGACGAAGGCCTTCCCCAAGCATGCGGCCGCCTAAGTGACCCGGTGTGCCTGAGGGTGTGCCTGACCTTTCTTGCGCGCTCCCTCTTAGCCAAGCCCAGCGCCCCGAGTCTCCAGAGTCTTGCCTTTCGCATCTTACAATGGGGGCGCAGCTGCGTGGAGGGATGCAGCTGGTTACCTGCGACAGTCTCCTCTGAGCCAGTGGGCATTGAAGCTAAATATCCGCTGCTGTCCAACTGCAAGTTTGCGCGAAAGCACGGTTCCAACAAAATGGCCGCTGCCACATCTTTACCAAAGAAGGCATCATTCCAAGAGAAAGGGCAGCTGCCACATCTTTACCTCACAAAACATGCATAAGTCCAAGAGAAATGGCCGCTTGCGCATCTTTTTACCAACAAAGCGTCATCACTGCCATATCTATATCAAGAAAGCATCGTTCCAAGAGCAATGGCCGCTGCCACATCTTTATCAAATAAAACATGGTTCCGAGAGAAACGGTGAACAAAAAGTACCGGGCTGGTAGATGACTGTCTTTTCCAAGCCATTGACCTTTCGGATTTGTATCACGCATACATATCGCCAATTTCTTTCATTATTGCACACGCAAGATAACTCACTGCACTACGACGACTTCCAATAGAATTGAGCCCATCAAGCATCAGGTTCTTGCCAGAACAGATCGAGGGCCGTGGGTCACTAAAGAGAAGTCAGGTACTCAATCAGCAGGGATTAGATCAGTATGGCTTCGCAAAAACCAGGTACCTCTTTTTTCGAGAAAAAACGATGTGATTTTGAGAAAACCCATCCTGATAAAAACCTAACTTAAGAGACATGAATTTTCAACATTACTCAAGACCTTGCTTCACTAATTTGTCATATGTCATTTGGTCACGTGTCAAATGATATACCCTCCGCCGACATTGACCTTGGCACAGGGCAATCACAGTCAGCGCAGCTTCAAATTCAACTGCAAGGCATGCAATGTCATGTCATTCAACACATGTTCCTATCTTAGTGCTCGGCTACAGGTGAAGGAGGGCGGAACCTGTCATGCATTGAACTGGCAAACCCAACATCCAACATGGCTACTTATCAGTCAGTCAGGACAAGTTACAGTGACAGTGGCCAAGCGGGTATCAATTCAAATTCAACTTGTCAGGCAGCATCAGTCAATTGAAGTGCTGCTCATACCCTTCTCAAAAAATTGGAAAATTAAGAGGCAGTGTTTAACTTAATTTGTTTGGTTGTCTCAAATGGCTCACACTCGTAGACAGACAAGTCATAATTTTTTTGATCCGCAAATCAACCCCTGTGCGCAGGCAGAGCTCAGGCTCAGAGAGGCTCACGCCGAGGAAGTTATGAATTAAGCCATTTGGCGTATTCCTCAGCCACGGCTGAGGAGGACAATGCTCGGAGTCAAACAGCGCATGTTTCACACCGGTAAACGAGCCATCCATCCGGGCCTTTGACTGCAAGTCCTCCGTTGCCACCACTGAAAGGAATTGCCAGCTTCAGTGCGTGCAGTGGACTTGCGCCGTGCAACGGCAAAGGTCATAGTTGATGCACCAAATGCGCTCAAGTGGCAACTCGTGCGGCAAGCGCCCAGCCAACTCAGAAGGTTGCAAAAGGACATGTGTTTTGGTAAGCAAGAGCTCCCTGGCTGCTCTAATATGCTGAAGTGGCCAAGGATTGCTGCCAGGAAGTACCGCAAACTTGATATCCAATCCAGCGAGTTGCCTTCGGCCACAAATCTCTTTGATGTGTCTCCATTGTAGTCTGGCGGTGTTCTTTTTGAAACTGAGACACTTAGTGTCACCCAAGAACTGCAGACAGCGCCTTGCCAAGCCACACTAAGCTCTTTGGATATATCAACCACAGGCGTAGCGTTAAATGAACAACCTGAGAATCCCCGACGAATCAGAGCCATCGACAGGTTGCCAAAGCCTGACGCGCTTCGTCCAAGGCCTTTTGCAAGAGCAATGCGAATAGAGCAGGTGTTCCATCTGGTTCAAAATGGCAAGCCTTTCAGGTCGGGAATGCCACAGAGATGGCACATGAACGCAGCCTTTACGTTGCACTGCGCGTCAGAGGACTTCGTTTTGGGCAACATCGTCGCCAGCGCTGCAGAAACCACGATGCACCTGGCATTGATTCATTGAGTTGGCCTATCATAAAACTCAATAGCTTCAGTGTCTGATCAGTGGCAAGCTTAGCCAGGCAGCCCAAGCGCTTGGCCAACCACAAGACAAATAATGTCAATGACAAATTGAGAGATCAATCGCCATCGCTACACATCACAGAACGCAGGCCTGGAAATCGGCAGGCAATTGGCAAAGTCAGCAAGTCCATAGTGCGAAGACACCTGAAACTTCCGCAGTGCTTTAACTTCCACTGCTCGTTGTTTGGCACCGCCAGCAAACGCCACCATAGGATCAAGCTCAGCCTGAGCTGCTTGAAAAGCGGACGGCGATGACACACCTGCGTCCACCTGCGCCCCCTCATCAAAATGATTCGCCCTGGTCTGCTTCTTTCTGTTCTGCTTCTTTGGCTTCGGCTGCTGCGCTGGGAAGGGATAATGAGGCAGGACAAAAATACGAGGAGTTGCACAATCGAAGAGAGCGCGGGTTTGCTTTCGCGTGGCAAGGCAAGAGGATGAAATATTGAAATAACCTGTCAGTTGACACATTGACAAGTTGACAATTTTGAAAGTTGTGACAGGTCTAGACTAAGACTGGCTTGTGACCCTTGAAACGAAAAGGCCACTGTTAGTTAAGTTCCATTGGATCTAGATGACAAGAGTGACACATGACACATGAGTTTGAACCATTCACTGACTTCGTTGTCACATGTCTCATGGTCACACAAGCAACTATTTGACTCCATTGTCGAGGGTATTGGTCACCGCACGGAATTCGAACTGCAACTGCCTTGTCATTGACTACGTGGTTGACTCGCCATATGATGCCCGCAGGCGTCACGCAACATAGCTCGCGTCAGACCGACCCGTCGGCCTCAAGCCCGCTGGCTTCCGAGCGTGCAGTGACATCCGCTGACATTGACATGCAGTTGCATTTGCCTCTCGTCAAAGCGGCCTGGGGGGAATCACCTTCTGAGAGAGCTAGAGTAGTCCCCGTGGCCGCAGCTGATCCAATACATCAGCAGGAACAGCACCAGGAACTTGCTCGCTTGGAAGTTGCAATGGGCAGCGGTCGCCCACTTCTGCCACATGGGTTCGTCAAATCGGGGATCAGACATGAGCGTTTCTACTTTGAATCTTCAGTCATGTACAAAAGTCTGATGGCAAAATTCTTGCGCCTTGGGGCTCTCATTCACACGTGTGCCGAGCGGGTTTTTAATTCTGACAGGCTCTGCCGCCGCAGGCTGCGCTCCTGGAACTGGAGCTTCAAGTTCAGGGGCCGCCGCCTAGGAGCCGCAACTACAGGCCCGAGCAGCAAGCCTCTCCGCATCTGCGGCTCCTGGTCATGTGGGCAAGCGGAACCGGAAATTGCGCAGGTGGCAATGGCAACCATGCTGTCAGCCAAGGCAGGGGCCCCTGAACTGAGCAGAAGGCCTTTGCTCCTCCTCCTCCTCCTCCACAGTGAGAGCAGGGCCTCAGGCTTGCAGCAGCAGGCTTGTGAATGATCTCATGCTCCGAAGGCTTGCTAGTTGCTGAACCCTCACGTTGGGGATCGGAAACACGCTGAGATTTCCCCGATTCAGTGGCATTGCCTTCAACAATCTGCTTCTCGGCCTTTCTCTTGCCACGCTTACCAGATTCCTTGTTCGCCTCGCGCTTCTTCTTGGACTCCTCCACAGTGGGGCTCCGGAACACAACCGAGACAAATGACATTATCAAATGTTCTTATTATCATTTCTATTATCATTGTTACAAACAACTGAACTTTTACGGGAACCACACAAACATGATTAGACGCAAAACTGATGTCACAGGCGCCATTGCTTCTTTTTGCTGTCCAAAGGCGCTTCCTGATTTTTTGGTTTAAGTCCCTGAAGTCACTGCGCTCACTGAGCTCACGTTTGTGGAGCAGGCGACTTGTCAGATCACCATCTTCCTGCAAGCGTTTTTTAGACTTGTGGGCCGGCAATTCTGACAAAACAGCCTCCACATAGCCAGGCTCAAACTCCCCAAACTCTTTCGCCGGGCTCCGCAGCACAGTGTGCCTCTGAGGCTTCTTTCCCTTCTCAGCGAGACCATAGGACCAGCCCACGACGCGCAAGGTGCCTAGCGTCAGCTCACTGGCGAAATTCAGAAGCACGTGCTTGATCAAGTTCTCCGCTCCGCCAACTTGGTGCAAGGCAATGCCAAGATCTGGGCGCCAGCAACTCCCACAAGGAATCATTGGGTACAAGTGTGGAGCAAGGCAAAACACCCACTTGACCTTCCCAGACGGCTGAAGTACCAGCCCTCCTGACTCGAGCGCAGCTCCCCAGTATCAACACCAATCCGCTGCAACAAAGAACATTCAGCTGCCCAGCCTGCGCTGCAATGTATTATTTAGCACATTGCGTTGGAGTTAAAGGACATGACATGTGATGCGTCAGTGAGTCAAGCGCTCAAATTAGCAAGTGTCAAATGACAAATGCGTCAAGTGACAACTGTCAACACGCAGAATCTACAACTGCACAATGTGGCAGTGACTCAGCGTTCTCAAAGCAAGGGCGAAAGCAATTGACACATGACATGCCTCAATTGAAACATCCTGTAGCCACAGCTTTTGCTGCTTGTATTCCCGCGCTCGATCGCGACAGGTTTGATGGAGTAGTTGCCGGCCAATGTTTCCCGGGATTCATGGTTCTGCCGAAAAGCCGGGGAAGGCGATGTGTCTTGCGCCTCATCATTTTCTTATCCTGAAATTTCGTAGCTTTGACACGCCTGTACTGAGAGAGAAAATAAGCTGTTGACACAGAGCCGCCGTTGCGAACACCGCGACCTTCAATGATTTCGCTGAAGTTCAAAACTTGCTGCGCAGAGCTTTGTGTCATCTTCTCATGGCGCTGACCTCCAAATCTCTCCTTGGCCCGTTGCACATGATGTCTCATCAATCTGACACCCCGCCCAGGTGTCACATGTCACATCAACTGAAGCTGACAGCTGTCACGCGTCAATCTGTGACTGGGCCCAGCGCAGCCCTGGCCGAGGACATTTGAGATAATTTTTCTGGGAAAGTTCCCAGTGTTCG